GGCACTTGTCTAACTCCCATATGGCCCTCATTATAATGAAGAAGCCTTGTGAGTCAACAGCATAGCATCCTTGAGTCAGCCAGCCACAGGAGACAATCCATAGCCTATTTTAGACCGTATGTTTTTGCTCTCACAAAACACGAGACATTATAGCAGTATTTCATGAGCTACTTAATCTGAGATGCCAGTGGGGGGAGTGTGTGCACTCCTGGGCCCTAATGGCTCTCTGTTTGAAGAGCTCAGTGTAAAATGTTTTAAAGTAATGGAATTATTACGGACAAGTGGTGGGCAGCTTTCGAACAAGTTTTGAAACTTCACCAATAAATGATAGATTTTCTTCCCTGTGCTTCAGATGACAGCCCGATGTCATCTTGACATTTCCAATCTGTGTGGTATTTCCTAACAACATGGGCCAATCTTCATTTGATAGCCCTCGCACCTAATTAGGCCAGCTCTAATGTTCCACTCGGCAGAGTGTCAAATCCAATGTCCAATTACACAGCAGATCAAGGCCAAAGGTCCGCCTCCACTACCTCTCTGGCTGATTATAGAAGAAATGCCACGGTATACATCACACAGAAAGAAATAGGTCTGTCAGAAAAAGGGAAAGAGACACACGTAGATGCACACGCACACACGCATGAACACATACACATAAGGGGATCAATACCGCAGGCAAAGAGGCTGAGGGACTGAGGGTGGCTCTCTAAAACCCAGTCTGTCTATTTCAGACAGAGTCTCTCTGTTACACTGGGCAGACACACAGAAGCCTTTCAGTGCTGAAGTCAGACCACGATGAAGAATAGCAGGTCTGAACATTACCAGAATGTTAAAATCAATCAAGTCTACGTTTTGCTGTACCAGTGTGTATATAACTTTTGGACTTAAAAATACCAAAAATCTGCCACAATTACCTTGTGAAAAGTCAATAAAGACCACAGTCCATCCTTAATGATAAGCTGTTCAATGGAATCTCTTTTTGTTATTCACACCCTTCTTTAGAGCATATGTCAATAACTGAATCAAACGGAGCAGACCCTCATCCAGATGGCTCAGCTCCTGTGTTTAATGTTGGGATTGACACCACATGCTAAACACAATGCGTGGGTTTCACCTGGATACAGAGCAACAAGATAAACAGCCTTGTGTTCATGTGCATCAGAGATGAAGAACCCCGTGGAGGAGTCTATGATGGCGAATGGTTGGCAGGGAAATGACACGCGACTGAACCTGAGCTTGAACACTTTAGGGTAAAAAAGAATCTCTTTTCTTTGAAGCGAGGTAAGTGCAATAGCAAACTATAAGAATAGGATGGTACGCTCTAACCTATTCTGTTATAGTGCAATGCATCACTTGAGAGCAATGAAGAATATTGATGGCAGTGTGTGTTAGCAAATCGATTTTGGGATAGCGCAATCTGGATGCTGTTTTGCTCCTTTAAAAAAAAAAACTTTTCCTTTTAAGATGAAAACTTTCTGCTCCTTTAAAAAAGTGAGCTCCTGTAGACCTGGCATAGAGGAGAGATGGAGGGCAGTGCACAGTTGGGGTGGGTTGAGGCAGTGGGTTAGGAGGGTGGGGTGGGGGGGTGGACAAGCATGCACGTATGCGCGTGTGTGAGCATGTGTGGATGTGTGTGTATGTGAGGAGGAGACTGCAGCGGTAATTGCCAGGGAAGAGCCATGTGCACGAAGGACGTTGAAGCTTATTAAAGGAGGAGACAGAGTGATTATTCACTATGGTCCTCTTGAGAGACTGACGCTGAAGTCATTGCTTTTAATTAACTCTGAAACGGTTTTGCGGATTAATAACAATATTAAGAAGGGAATGGAGAGGAAAGCGCAAACACATCTTGGATCTGGTTCAAGCTTTTTAATTACAATCAAATTGACTTGATGGCACAATAGCACAATAACTATGTATTTTAGGTTCTCTTTTCTTTCTCCCATTTCTACTATGTCCAATGAATTTGTCTTCATTGTGCTATGTCTCTCAGGACGTGTCCAAGACAGGTTATAGCAAAGCATTGATTTATTGGAGAGAGTTTATGATTGGTTGGAATATTTGGCACACAGGCAAAAGAACAGGCGATGAAGAAGCCAAAAGAGTATGCGGAGAGGAACTTGGAAAGCGGATAAAGTGTGCTGTGCTGAAAATAGATTTCTTATTTGTTTGTTTACCAGGAAGCTCACTTTTTTGGTCTAGCTTAAAAAGTGTCAAAGTTCTGGGGACAGCATTGGGATCATTGTGTTGCACTCTGCCAAGTGAAAAGGGGAAGTGGATGAAGAGGAGAAGAAATAATGGATGTTGATGTTAGACACTGCTTGTAAGAACCCCTGCCTGGAGTGGGAGGAGCACATGCTGGAGTAAAATGGCACTGCAGGGCCTGGAAACCCGCTGCTTCACTAAAGCCAAAAGATGATAAAACACTAGTATTGTCTCCAATTCCCTTGGTCTCCCCTGTCCCAACTCACAATGTAGCTTTTTGCAGCCTTAATGAGCTGAGGAAAGCACCACTGTGACTGTAGGAGCTTCAGTTTGACTCTCAGCACTTCATCATTGATGTAGCATAAGTTGGCCCAACATTTATAACCATTCACAGTCATTTACACAGACTAAGGCTCTGGGGCCTTCTCCATCAGCCAAGCACACAACCTAATAAACACCACAGCAAGAGGACTGCATCTTTATGTATAAGCTGTGAATAGGACGGAGGAAGACAGAGAAAGAGAGGCAGTTACCACTTTATAAACATTACTCGGGTCTCTGGAGATGCACACTGTGTGCGTCTAACTTAAGTACCTCCGCACCCTCCTCTTGGGAGCACAATGAAGTGGGAACAGAAGGCATTTTATAGGAACATATGTTCTTCTTCCCCTATTATATATCAATGCTTTTACACCCACCCATAAACATTACTGTTGAGTGAGACATTATATATAGAAGGTGATTGCTGTAATTCTCTTTTTCTTGCTGGGTGTGAACTTGGCGAGGGTAAATAATTAACCTCTAGATGCTTTGGTGAGGCTGCAGGTTCATGCCACAGAGCCAATGCCAACTGTTATTTTATCTCTATATATCACAGTCTCAGCACTTATAATAGGAGACCCTAGCAGTTTTCTTCTTTAATCTAACCATGTGTTCATTAATTGACAGGGTTTTGATTTATATGCCACTTGGCAAAAAATAAAAAAAATAAACGTAGGAAAATCATAATAAAGCAAAACTAAAATTATTTCACAGCCAGCAGACATGAAACATGTTGTGGAAGCTGCTTTGTCATGATGTGAAATGACAGCTGGAGGATCGCATTTGCTGGATTTCTAACTTATATTTACAGTTCATCTCTTTTCTGTGTTTCTGACTGTAGAGCAAGCTGGTGATGGGGAACGATGACAGAATCTCTAAATGTTCATGAAATAGACAATAAATAATACATTTCCTGTGATTTCACCTGTTGTGTACAGTGAAGTCCAATAATGAGTACAATTCACTTTGAGATCGTGGTGACAAGAAAAAAAAGTGTAGCAGCTTTTGAAGCATATGTGTGAAATGCAATGCGGACAACCCCTAAACTTTATCATGATTTTCAAGTCATACCTATATGTATATAGTGCATTATAACACAGAGTTTAACTCGAGAAAGTATGTATTAAGTATATAAAATGTGCATGTTCTTTGATGTCACTGAAATTTTTTTGTAGGATCAAATGGGAACGCTGGTTTCTGTCACATAAAGCCTTTTTTAGTGGCATGTTTCTTCTTTTCTTTTTGTTTTCTTTACAGTAATAGGCTACATTTTTGTTCTGCATGTTTTTCCATGATACTTTTGATAGAGATACAGTTGCAGCCTGAGCAAACAAAGCGAACAATATCTACAATAACTGTAGTGTAACATCCATCTTTTTCCAGGCAAAACGCATTTCGGAGCCACTTTGAAGATAAGAGATCTGACGGCTGATCGGAAGGCTGCAAACTACACTGGCACACATTACCGACCTGAGAAGACCCTCCGGGGCGCAAAATAAAATTAGAGCCCCATTAAATGACGCATCAAAGAAGCCGAGAATAGATCACATAGACGTCCTAATGCGTTTAACACGACTGCTAAGATAGATGGAAGCAACCGCGAACAGGCAACATCATCTGGTACGCTTTTTTAGAAATTTAAAAATTACATTTCTGCAAAATTTCTAATATTTTCCCCTTCCTCTCTTTACACTCAGAGCGCAGACAAGCCGCTAAGCCCACACAGTCTAAAAGTTGTATGAGACAGAAATTAGGTGTGCACACTGGCTTTTATAATAATAATCATAATAACAATAATTATAGCCTCACAATAATAGTAATAATCGTAAAGGTTTGGCTATGACGTAACTCGGAATACTGTATAATAACTCATAATATACACTGAACAATTAATGATAAAATATAATGAAATATCAGGCGACCACGTCAAACATTTCCAACTCCACCAGATTCTTTTTTATTATCTCTCCCGCTTTTCTACTCTAAAACACTGCAAATGCCAAGGCTCCGGCACAAACTGCCATTAAATTCCTCTGGATGTTAATCCTTATTCTTAAAAAAAAACGAAACGTCTGATCGGTTTCTACATTTTACAGTGTAAAGGCATAAAGATCGGCAAAAACTCCGCGTTCAGCTCAAACTGACCGTCCTTTGGATCGCGGGACACGGCAATGTCAGGACGCATCATACAAAGAGGGGACGCGGGTTGCAACCAGTCAACACATCTTTATCTCCAGGCGCGCTGGGTGCCACAGCTGTGCGCTCTGGGCTTTGGCCGACGCGCGGCAGATGCGCACGCTTGCTTCGCAATGTCACTTTTTATTCCCTTGCTTTATAAAAAAATCAGCTTCTTACACTGTGGCTTTTGCAGAGAGAGCAGAGAGGCGGCAGCAAATGAAGAGGAGGAAAGTGCATATCAGAGGAGTCAGGTATGCTTAGGAAAGGAAAGTCAGTAAAAGTTTCAAAGCACTAACCTGGCCATTTTTGCAGAGGTCTGCCCACATGCTGGTGCCATCCCCTCCTCTCATCAGCACATGGTAGATGAAGAAGTATGTGCCAGGTATGCTGCAGATGAACTTGCCCGAAATGCCATCATAGTTGTTGCCTAGGTTGGTGACAACATCGTCAAACTTGAGGATCTCGTAGCCTTCGTGGGGGTTCTTAAGCCCTGCATAGAAGGCTACCCGAGGCACTGTGCTGTAGGTAGCCGTGCTGATAGCTCCGTTCCCCCCCAGACCCAAAATCCCAGTCCTTCCCTGATCTCCTCTGTCACCAGGAGGCCCCGCTGGACCTGGTGGCCCCGGTTCTCCTGGTGGTCCGGGTGGTCCCGGCTTGCCTGGCCTGCCAGGCTTCCCCTGTGGGCCCTGCAGTAAGGTGGAGGGTGGAAGTACGTTGCTGTGGTCGCTCAATGCCTCTGCCTCAGCCTGGAGACCGGTGGAGCTGGTGCTGCTGGCTGGAGTGCCCTTGTTCAGGTAGGGGTCACACACCATACGACAGGTGCCCAGCATCTCATAGTGGCTGGCATCTGTACCCACAGAGCTGACGAGCACCGGGATGAGGACCACCAGCACCAGGACGAGCATAACCCCTACGGCAGCCGCCACCAGGGTCTTCCTCCCGATGCTGAGTCGGGGAAGGGGCTGCGCTGCCAGCGTGGGTCTCCCGGGGGCGGAAATGGTGACTGCTTGGTGTGGGGAGCCTGTCACCGAGGAAAGGGACCCAGGGATCCCGAGAAGAGTTGCAAGAGGACCGGCAAGTGTGTGAGGGTGAGGCAGAGACCCACATACACTTGATACTCCTCACTGCTCTGCTCAGTCACACTGAAGTCAGCAACCAGTCATTCACACATGCATAAAGACCTAAGCAAAGCCAAGCATACACAAGGAGACATTCAGAGCGTACTTACAAACACAATCTGACTTGTGAGAAGAAGCAACAAGGATGCAGAGCCCAGAGGAATGGAGTGAGAGACAGAGGGAGCGAGAGAGAGAGAGAGAGAGAGAGAGAGAGAGAGAGAGAGAGATGATGAGAGTGGGTGAGTGTGAGAGATACAGAGCAGCCACTGGATCTGTGTGTGTGTGTGTGTGTGTGTGTGTGTGTGTGTATGTGTGGTGAGTTTGTGGTGCCGGATTCTCAGGCTTGGCTTTTTATACGGCAGAAGCAGCGGAGCCCCCAGCCCCTCCCCGCTGCTCCCCCATCGAGCGAGGGGTTGGTGTGGTTACGTCCCTTTCTCTCTCTCCAGCTCACTCAGGAAGGACTCTCATCACACTGCATCTCTTCTACCACTCTCCTGAACCACCGAGAAACCTACACACAACTCCCTTGACCATCTTGGTCCCCCTGTCTTTCATCCTTCTCTTTTCCTCTCTCCCCACTCTCCCTCTTTTTCCCCACTTTTGGTGTCGTTTTTCGCTCCCTTGCTTTCTCTTCTCTCATATCAGCATCCAGCCTCTAAAAATAAAGATGGAGCTGTGGAAATACTTTTTTTTTTTTTCCTGGAGGTGGGTTCTAGAAATTCATGCATACTGTATGTGCGCAGACACAAGACAACACTTAAATCTGCTTTGCCAGGAAATGCCAGCAGCTTCTCAAATTAAAAAAAAGGTGCTAATTATAAAAGTTAATGCCAAGAATGAACTCATAAGCCAACAGCTTTAACAGTATAATACAAATTAAACATGCAACCACACATGTAGAAGAACTGTTTGAACACTTTTTTTAAAATGATCTAGGTGGCAGGTTACATAGGACCACTTTTTAAAGGTAAAAGCAGGCAATCTGCCCTTCCGTTAGGGGCCACTGACAGTGACACTCTTCTGCTGTTATTTCATTCCCCTCTTTGTCTTTCCCTTGTGTCAATAACCCCGTTTCTCCACCTGAATGCGCTGACACTGTTTCTTATTGGTGTCTTTTTTTAGGTATTGATTTCATGGTTTTTATCAAATTAAGGGTCCTGGTTGGGAGAAAAAAATCTATATGCAGCAGTGATGTCATTTGTTTGACATTTTCATCCCTTAGAGTGATGAATGGTAAAGTAAGAAAGCAAATGACAAAGTCTGTATATGGCAAACAAACATAGTCATCATGTGAAATATGTGTTATGTTCATAGTAAGGCGGTCTTCTGTGTTTTTGGTCTAATACCGTTCAGAACGCAAAATGGACAAATAAAGCAAGTTGGATTGAGAGAATACGGCACATCCATGTGAATATGAACTGCCAATTTCAAAAAAAGTGTTCACGTCAACCTCACAGAGGCACTGATATCTCTGGCTCACAAAACTGAAGCCAAACCAGCTGGTAGCTCAACACCACACACAATCCAATGATGTGCAGTTTAAGGTCACAAAAACTGAATATATCAGTTATATTCAGTCTGTTACAATCACATCTGGGAAGTAAGTATCTGGTGCTGTTTTTGGTGTGGCTGTTTCAATGAGTCAACATATGAATGTTTTGAACCTGTAGTCTTTAAATATCATCTTCAGCTTTTCCTGTATATAATTTTCCTGTTCCTGTTGGTCATGCCTTCGAGGACACCAAGAGTCTACAGGTTTTCAGTTCACCAGTTGTTTTCAATAAGTTCAACCTCTCTGTGTAAACTTGTGTTAATCAGTGAAATCAGCTGGTGTAGTCATTGGTTAGAATAAAAATCTGCAGACTCTTGGCTTTCCATGTCACATTGTTGACTATTCCTGGCTTAGAAAGGACTGTTTGTGCCAGAGCTGAACCGAGCTCGTGTGACGGATTGAGATGGATCAATGAGCAGGATGCCTGACTATTTGTCACCACTACACTTGACATATCACCAGTTATTTTTCTGCTTTTCTCTCTCTTCATCATCATTAAACTTCAGTTGCAAACTTATGGCATCACCAGTTGGTTGTCTAATTTATCACTGAGCAGAGTCTGTGAGACATACCCAAATAACTGGCACACCAGGTGTGCCTGCAATGCATATTTGCCTTTTTTTTGTTTTATTCCTCAAAACAGACATGGAGTTTGCCTATATGAGGAAGCACACAAGCCCTAAATTGGTTTTGGGGTTTGTTTAGGGGGCCATTGTTTGTTCTTCACACCTGCTGGCTGTAACTGCCAGTCAGATCACTGTGCCCCAAATCTCTAAATCTCTGAACCACAGAGATCAATGCACACCAGAGAGGACAAACAGAGTGCGAAAGCGATGAAAGAGAGATGAGAAAGATGGGGAGACAAGCAATAGAGAGGCAGAAGGGGAGCGGGAAGTACAACATGGAGAGGGAGTTAACTGCTGTCACAGCTGAGTTTTATATCAGTGGAGCTGGTTTGTTTTGCTTGATTTGTTGGAGCATATAGGGAGCGAATCCATCAGTGTCAATGACAGTTGTAAAACGTATTTTAATGGAAGTGACATGTTTTGAAATCCTGAATTGCTGCATGTGGTAGAGACAAATTTTCAGCATCTGATTAGCATTTTCTACAATGTATTATAGATGTCAAATTTTTAAAACAGTTAGGGGGCCACATAAGTGGTGCAGAGTGCAAAGTTCCTGTCTGCCACAAACGTTTGCTTCCCAGTCGTGGAATCAAATTGTTGGCAGGTGGGAAACCAGACAAAGGTTCTCAACCTTTTCACTGTATGGTGAACTCGTTGGCAAATAGTTGTTTATTTACACATCCAGCAGTAACAGAGCATTATCATCATGTTTTTGGCCACCGTACTGATCTAAATCCAATATTCACAGTCCTTTTTATTCTTTTTTGGTCTCTACCAACTCCTTAGATAAATAGCTGAATCTTTAGCTGCTAAATACGCCACTATGTCGACCAGCAGGTTGCTAACATTGTCTCTCTGCTGTGTAGCGCAGATAGCGTACAGTCTTGTAAAACCTAAATAATTAGCTCAAAGATGCTGAAAGACTCCATAGAGCTGAGGGGAGTCAATTTTCTGTGCGTCTGACACTATGAAGGACCACTGCCACAGACAAGAAGTCATGTGATCCATCGTTAACATAACAATATTGTTTATAGCTACTAGTATTTCTATACTTTTAAAGGATTGCATGCAGTGATTATGTTTGGTTTGCTCATTCTGGGCTAGAAACATGGTTTCCTCTGTGGAAGAGGACCCGCTGCCTGTATACATAAAAACAGCTCATTCTAAGGCAACAAAAACACAGTAATTCTTATTTTCAGGTGATTATACACTCAGAAAATAAACCTATGAATATTATATTCAACTTTTGCCAACACGTCCTCCTAAATGTTACCCATTGGACCTTTAATATAAAAAAGTTTATTCAAGTTCAGTAAGTATTCTTCTCACATATATGTAAAAACCAACTGCCAGGAAATATACTACAACGCTGATGTTCGCTTATTTCTACCACCTCTTGGCATGCTTTAGCTGAGCACCACTCAGACGTACAGTATAAACAGCATGGGGATAGACAATGTTTTGAAAAATTGCAAAATGACACCAAAGCAGCTCTTTGTGTGGGTAAAACATCATCATATCCTATATAATTGATGGGCAATACTACAAACGTAAGACCTATGTTGTAAAACAAGGGAATGTTTTTATGCATTTACCTTAACTCCATTTCTGCATTGTTTTATTAAGAGAGAGCTCAGCTCAGGTTTTGTGCATCACAGCTGACTGGACTGTGATGAGAGAGAAAGCTTTTGAAAAACAATAAGTGAGCGGAGGCGAGGACAAGGCAAGAACAGGAAACCAGAACCTCAGTAGCACTGTGTCCAAGCATCAGCCACATCCAAACACACCTCAAACGCTTTTAATCACTTTGTTGTTCTCCCTGGTTACAAAGAGACGGGAGGCAAGAGTTTCAGAAGTGCACAAGGGAGAACCACAAAACATGGAAGAGTAAAAAAAAGACTTTCATGGATTTTATTTTATTTTTTTCAAGAGGAAAGTTTAACAGGTCAAAGAAACAAAACAACATCACAAACACACAAGCAAACACAGTAGATGCCTCATCTCTAGTTGAGTTTGTGTCTCTGATTGCTTCCCTTGTGTTGCTCCTGGCCGAGGCTTATCAAAGAGCTCCTTTCATAAGTGCCAGGATCAAGCCACTGCTGTGACTGCTTGGCACCCACTGAGGTGGTTTGGAGATGGGGAGGGGGGGGCTTCAAAACAAAGAAGGCAAGGCAGAGGAAGTCAAAATTGAAGATGGTGAGTGAAGGGGAGATGGTGCATTTGTGCATTTAAAGAAAAATGGGAAAGGAAAAAGGCTGAGTTCGGAGGGGAATTGCCCACGGCTTCTGCAAAGTGTCTGTGGAATAAAAGAGTGTGTGTATGTGTGCGTTGTTGTTCATGACAGAGAGGGAGAAGTGGAGAACGGAGAAGAGGGCAATCTTTTGAGTCTGGGGAGGAGTTGTTTTATATATGTGCTGAGAAAATTAATATGTATTTGCTTTAAGCCTTCTCTGCCTCAGTGATTTCTTGCTGACGCGCACTATAATGCACAGAATATCCAGGTGAATGCAGAAACAGTGAAGGACATGACTCCAGAGGAAACGAGCAACACACACACAGAATACCCTGAGGCCATGTGTTCCTCCTCACTACACCAGCCATGGTTCTATTAAGCCTGACGTCTGCTCTGTTTACTAAAGCATGTGACAGCATTGCATTTTTACAAGACTCTTAATAACTGACTTTGCTGACCAGAGATCATGCACTTAAAGGTGAGTCAACCTGGTGTTACTTCATGTTCAGGGGTTCTTGTTTGAACAACTGATACTAAAGTGATCAAGACATGTTGTAACCACTTTGCATGTTATGTCACATGTGTATTCATATCAGCCTTATTGCATGCACTTTTCACTGCAGTGAGCTGATAACAGTTGCATGCCCTGTATGCAAGATCATGAAATGTTTACTAGTTGATTGCACAGACACGCTTATCAGCCAAGAGTAAGATACTGTACAGACAATTTAGTGAAGATGTTCAGGGTAGCTGAATGTTGTCACCCATGAACATGGCTTGATCTTTAGTCTCTGTTTACACGTTGTCTTTTTTTCCCTTGACTGAGCAGCAGAGCTCCAGGAAAATTGTTGTTTAACTCTTTGTCTTCCTATCTGCAGCATCAAGAGAAGTGAAAAATAGTGGGCTTGCTTTTTCACTAACCTGCTGCAGGGCTGGCTAATATATCCAGGTACCATAATTAATGTGGTGATGTGGTGTACCAGGTGTGTGTGTGTGTGTGTGTGTGTGTGTGTGTGTGTGTGTGTGTGTGTGTGTTGTGTGCGCTTCATGTGTGCATTCCCTCAGTCTGACTTGCCTGCAGCGAGCTGGTTGCGGCTTCACTCGATCTTGACTTCTCTCCCTCCAGGCTCCCAAATGATGGGCTGACCTTTCCACCTCGGCCAGGACTGCAGCGTCACTCACAGCATGAACTGAAAGCTCATCTCCTCACTAAACACTTCACATTGCTCTCCACTCTGCCTTCCACCTCCACTTGCATCTGATTTGAATCATGCTTTACAAGAAAGGTCAGAATTCTATATTCTTGTGATACACTGTATTTGCAATATTTATTACCTGTGCTGTGGGTTTTGAAGCACCGTACACAAGCATCACCATGTGTCATTAGTAATGTAAGTTTACTTATCCTTTAACGATAAAAAATAGGTGGCTATGGAGTAAATAAATATATGGTTTCTGGCACAGTGTGCAGGGCTTGACACATTGAACCCGTAATTTTTGTCCCTTTACTTAAGGATTTTTTAGTTAAACAGTAGCTATAAAAAAGAAGCTATGTGTCAAGAGCTTAAAATAAGCTTTTCCTGTACTTCTCTGCCTAAGTCCTCCATATTGCTTCAGGGTCCTGAAATTCAAAATCTATGTGTGGCTTGTCTGTTTATGAGTAATGAGTGTGGGTCATATGTTGACCCAGGTGGTTGAAAATCTGTCAGGTAGTAACATCTGTCAGGTGTAAGTGCTTTGATTTTAGTTGTGACAGTTAATCGTTTTAATTATTATGTTCGTAAAATGCAAAGTACATTGCTGAACTGTTTTTAGCCCTGAGAGTGTGAAAGCTATCTCTGTGCAAGTGTTTTGGAACTCGACACTCATCGGAGTTAATTCAACATTTATGATCTCTCTGATAAGCTATGAATAAACATCTTTGGTAAATATTTGTTACTGAACAGACACATCACTGCAGAATTTGTATTGAAAACTGAGTGGTGTAAATATTTCCTTGTTTGAGAAATATTTGCTGTAGAAAAGTGAGGATTTTTTTGTGGTACTCTCTCTTTGTGTGTTTGTTCTCCCTATATCTTGGCTGACCCAGGGGAAGTCCCAGGGTGGTTTTCTTCATCCAGGCATTGAAGACAGGAGCCTGTCAAAACCTCAGCTGGAGTCCAGCGAAGGTTCTCTGTGGCCTGGTCTTGCTCCCAGCATGGCAGGACTGCAGCAGAGAAACCAAAGAGGAATATTCTGTCCTGGGGGAGAAGGATCAAGCTTATGTGGAATTGACAACTTCCCCAAAGGTGAGATGAATGGAGGAGATAAAGAGTGTTAGGAGTAAGATGTTAAGTCTCCTGTGTTATATGCATTCTTCACACAAACACAATTGTATCTTGCACTTCCTGCTCTGTGTACACTGTTTGGTGCTGTAGCTCTGTCAGTGAACGCTAAATATAAATTAGTTTTACTCGTTACAGCGGTTATTTACCCGCTTAACATTTAAACGTAGACTAGTTCTACTTAAACACTTGGAGTTTCTCCCTCTTTTAGGGACTTTTCACTACTTTCAAAGTTTTTGATACACTCTAGTTTCATTAGCATTAGCAGTTAGCTATGGCTTCTCCCTCTCCCTCTCCTCTGTCCTGCTCAGTGTGTCAGATGTTCAGTTATTCCTCTGCCTCCTTTAAAGATAATGGTACCTGTATTAAATGTAGTTTATTTACTGCGCTGGAGGCGAGGCTTAGTGAGTTAGAGGAACGGCACCGCACCACGGAGATATCTTTAGCCGCTATAGTTAGCCAGCCCCCGGTAGCCGGTGCGGTCCGACCGAAGGTAGCTTCTGTTAGCTCTGTAGATCCCCGATAGTTCCCGAGCAGCCGGGAAGACAGGGAGGCTGGGTGACTGAGCGAAGGAAGACTAGAACGGTGAAGCCCACAGGTCACCACCAACCGCTTCACGTTTCTAATACATTTTCCCCACTCAGCGATACACCCGCTGAGGAACCAACTCTGGTTATTGGCAGCTCCATAGTCAGAAACGTGAAGTTAGCGAAGCCAGCGGCCATAGTTAAATGCATCCCTGGGGCCAGAGCGGGCGACATTGAATCAAATTTAAAACTGCTGGCTAAAGGTAAACGTAAATACAGTAAGATTGTTATCCACGTCGGCGGTAACGACACCCATTTACGCCAATCGGAGGTCACTAAGATTAATGTGGAGTCGGTGTGTAACTATGCTAAGACAATGTCGGACACCGTAGTTTTCTCTGGACCCCTCCCCAATGTGACCAGTGATGACATGTATAGCCGCATGTCGTCATTCCACCGCTGGCTGTCGAGGTGGTGTCCAGCAAACGATGTGGGCTTCATTGATAACTGGAAGCCTTTTGGGGAAAACCTGGTCTGATTAGGAAAGACGGCATCCATCCCACTTTGGATGGAGCGGCTCTCTTATCTAGGAATATGGCGAAGTTTATCTCTAAAACCTGACAGTCCAGAGTTAGGACCAGGAAGCAGAGCTGCTGTCTTACACACTTCTCTGCGCTTTCTTTAGAACAGTCACCCACCCAAAACCCCATAGAGACTGTGTCTGTCCCCCGACCACCTAAACTATTTAAAGAAATAAAAACAAGAGGAGTTCAACATAAAAATCTAATAAAAATTAAAACCAACTCCTCAGTAGCACAAAATAAGAGAATGAAATGTGGGCTGTTAAATATCAGGTCTCTGTCCTCTAAAGCTGTTTTAGTGAATGAATTAATATCAGATTATGATATTGATTTACTTTGTCTTACTGAGACCTGGTTGTCCCACGAGGAGTATGTTAGCCTAAATGAATCCACCCCCCAGTCATATTAATACTCACATTCCTCGAGGCACAGGCCGAGGAGGTGGAGTAGCAGCTATATATGATTCGAGCGTTTTAATGGACCCTAAACCTAAACTAAATTATAATTCATTTGAAAGCCTTGTTCTTAGTCTTTCTCACCCAAACTGGAAAACACTGCAGCCAGTTCTATTTGTTATAGTGTACCGCGCTCCTGGACCGTACTCTGATTTTATATCTGAATTTTCAGAGTTTCTATCAAGCTTAGTCCTTAAATCAGATAAAGTAATTATTGTAGGTGATTTTAATATTCATGTGGATGTTGACAATGACAGCCTTAGTAATGCATTTATATCATTAATAGACTCAATTGGCTTCTGTCAGAGTGTAAATAAACCAACTCATTGTTTTAATCACACTCTTGACCTTGTTTTATCATATGGCATTGATATTGAACATTTAATAGTCTTCCCACATAATCCTTTCCTATCTGACCATTATTTAGTAACTTTTGAATTCATACTATTAGATTATAAGCCATTAGGCAAAACTTCCTACAGCAGATGTCTATCTGACAGTGCTGTAGCTAAATTTAAGGAGGAGATTCCTTCAGTGTTTAATTCAATGCCATGTCTGAATTTAACAGAGTCCTATAACAACTTTAGTCCCTCTGAAATTGATAATCTTGTCGATAGTGCTACAGGCTCACTACGATCAACATTAGACTCTATCGCTCCTATAAAAGGAAATTATTAAAACATAGGAGACTAGCACCTTGGTATAACAACCAAACACGCCAGTTAAAGCAAATAGCTAGGAAATCTGAAAGGAAATGGCGCTCTTCCAAATTATCAGAATATCACTCAAATTGGCAAGATGATCTTAAGATTTATAGAAAGGCCCTCCGTAATGCCAGAGGAGCCTATTACTCAGCACTAATAGAAGAAAATAAGAACAACCCTAGGTTCCTCTTCAGCACTGTAGCCAGGCTGACTGAGAGTCACAGCTCTATCGAGCCACATATCCCCATAAACTTAAGTAGCAATGACTTCATGAGCTTCTTCGATAATAAAATTATTACTATTAGAGAAAAATTAATCACCAACTGCCATCAACAGTTATCAGTGGCTCTCCAAGTTCAGGGACTTCTGTCAATGTAAACTTAGATGTATATTTAGAATGTTTTTCTGCTATCGATCTTCATCAGTTAACTTCAATCATTTCTTCATCGAAGCCATCAACCTGTCTGTTACACCCGATCCCACCTAGGCTGCTTAAAGAAGTTGTTCCCTTAATTGGCACTTCTTTACTGGATATGATTAATCTTTCTTTATTATCAGGATATGTACCACAGTCCTTTAAAGTAGCTGTAATTAAACCCCTTCTTAAAAAGTCCACTCTTGACCCAGGGGTTTTAGCCAACTATAGACCGATTTCTAACCTCCCGTTCCTCTCTAAGATTCTGGAGAAAGTAGTCGCCAAAGAGTTGTGTGACTTTCTACATAACAATAGTTTATTTGAGGATTTTCAGTCAGGATTTAGAGTTCATCATAGCACAGAGACAGCTCTGGTTAAAGTTAATAATGACCTTCTGACTGCTTCTGACAATGGACTTGTCTCTGTACTTGTATTATTAGATCTTAGTGCTGCATTTGACACCATTGACCATGATATTCTTTTACAGAGACTTGAGCATCAAATTGGCATTAAAGGAACTGCCCTAACCTGGTTTAAGTCATACTTATCAGATCGTTCTCAGTTTGTACATGTTAACGATGAATCCTCCATAAATACTAAAGTTAGTCATGGAGTTCCACAAGGTTCTGTACTTGGACCAATACTATTTAGGCAACATTATTAGGAATCACTCCATTAACTTTCACTGTTATGCAGATGATACGCAGTTATATCTATCAATCAAACCCAATGAAATTAATCAATTATCTAAATTACAAACATGTCTTAAGGACATAAAATCCTGGATGACCTGCAATTTTCTGATGTTAAACTCAGAGAAAACCGAAATTCTTGTTCTTGGCCCCAAAAACCTTAGAGACTCATTGTCTAAAGATATAGTCACTCTAGATGGCATTAACTTGGCCTCTAGCACCACTGTCAGGAATCTTGGAGTTATCTTTGATCAGGATTTGTCATTTAACTCCCACATAAAGCAGACCTCTAGGACTGCCTTCTTTCATTACGTAATATTAGAAAAATTAGACACATACTATCACAGACAGATGCAGAAAAACTAATCCATCCATTTGTTACTTCAAGGCTGGATTACTGCAACTCTTTATTATCAGGTTGCCCCAATAAGTCCATTAAAACGCTCCAATTAATTCAGAACGCTGCAGCACGAGTACTGACAGGAACTAGAAAAAGAGATCACATCTCTCCTGTACTAGCTACTCTGCATTGGCTCCCTATAAAATGTAGAATTGAATTTAAAATCCTCCTCCTCACCTATAAAGCTCTTCATGGTCAGGCCCCTTCATATCTTAAAGAGCTCATAGTACCCTATTACCCCACTAGAACACTACGTTCTCTGAATGCTGGGCTACTTGTGGTTCCTATAGTCTCTAAAAGTAGAACAGGAGCCAGAGCCTTCAGTTACCAAGCTCCTCTCCTGTGGAACCAGCTTCCAGTTGTGGTTCGGGAGGCAGACACCCTCACCACATTCAAGAGTAGGCTTAAGACATTCCTCTTTGATAAAGCTTATAGTTAGGGCTGGATCAGGTGAGTCCTGAACCATCCCTTAGTTATGCTGCTATAGGCCTAGACTATCGGGGATTTCCCATGGTGCACTGAGCTACTCTCTTCCTCTCTCTTTCTGCACTCATTCATGTCCCTTTAATGCATGTTACTAACTCCACTTCTTCCCCAGAGTTCTTGTGCTTTCTCGTCTCGCAGGTTCTCATGGATCCTGGTGGAGCCTCCTGCCATGGTCCTGCTTGACTGCCATTGCCAATACTGTTGTTGCTGTGCACCTGTCTGTCTGTCTGTCGCTCTCTCTCTCTCTCTCTCTCTCTCTCTCTCTCTCTCTCTCTCTCTCTCCACCCCAACTGGTCGAGACAGACGACCACCCACCTAGAGCCGGAGGATCTGTCCTAGGTTTCTGCCTTTTAACAGGCAGTTTTTCCTTGCCCTTGTCGCCAAGTGCTTGCTCATGGTGGTACTGTTGGGTCTCTGTAATTAATGTTAAAGAGTTCGGTCTAGACCTGCTCTATTTGAAAAGTGTCCTGAGATAACTTCTGTTATGAATTGGCGCTATACAAATAAAATTGAATTGAATTGAATTGAATTGGTAAGAGGAAATGTGTGTGGAGGAAAAGGTTTAGTGAAATGCACCAGCAATACTGTGGTAATTGAAACTATGATCTCAATAATGATCGTCATGACCTTAAAAGAATAATTCAGCATTTTGGGAAATACACTTATTGGTTTTCTTGCTGAGAGTTGCATTGCGGAGTTCTGATTTTACTGACTAATTTGATCATAAAATGTATTATCATTTACAAACATCAGGTTTTTTTGTGTTTTTTTTTTTTACAACCCAGGTTCTTATATTCATACTCAAAGTTTCTGTTATGCTTTTGTGTTGCTGTGTTGCCCACTTCCTCAAATAACGCCCTTAAGTAAAACACAAAAACAGTGAAATTACTGTAAATTATGCAAAATGATGAATGTACTGCCTTGTACTGATATTAATATTAAAACCACTAAGTCATAAGGTAATAATTGCACCCCTCTTTTAGTTCAGCAGCAACACAATTGCACAAGTACACAAAAGGTCAAGGCTCTATATATACAGGAAACAGATGCATCATGCAATCACCACATATTTCACTGTGAGCCCATTGAGCCTGCTGTAGGTGTGTGTGTGTGTGTGTGTGTGTGTGTGTGTGTGTGTGTGTGTGTGTGTGTGTGTGTGTGTGTGTGTATGTGCGCGTGTGTGTGTGTGTACTTTGGGGATAGAAGCAATAAAGCTGCTGGTAAAGTATCTTCTCAGCAAAGAGAAACAAATACAATCTATCTATCTATCTATCTATCTATCTATCTATCTATCTATCTATCTATCTATCTATCTCAAAATAAAATAAATAAAATGGGTATGAATCCATATTCACAACAGTAATATGTCATGTAAAACTCTCTGGGTTCCTTACAGTGCAATGTCATACGGAGTCATCTTCACTCCTCACCCCTCTCCCCCACCATCCGCCCTCTCCCCTCTTGCTGCCAGTCACCCGTGGGCCCCCGACCTCCAACCTCCAACTCCAGCCAGCTTCATGCCCCACCCTGCAGCTTCCATCTTACGACGGAGACCATCCACACAGCAAGTATTATGCAATAAGTATGTATTTATGTATATTAAGTCTTCCTGATGAATCATGTGCAACGTGGAGGGAATTTTTGATGAACTCTGATGAAGTCCCTGTCCCTTAAGCTCCATGTCACATTGCAGGCCTGTCTCCCAACTCAGTTATATATCATATAGCCATCAGGGAGGAGAGAGTACAGTACAAAACATCATTAATATGAAAATCATTAATATGGATCTGGGAGCAGGGAAAACACATCCTGAAATAATGAGAAACCCATGATTAGTAATACTGTATCTCCACATTTGGGCACACATTTGTTATTAATCATTAAAAAATAAGTGTGAGAAAATTTTGTGTATATGTTAACAATATCTACATTAAAAGATGTATATATTTTAGTTTTTAAGAGCTTTTACTGCAGCATCTGGACAGCTTTATCAGGAGTCTGGTTCATAAGACACAGCACCTTCTGCACAGCTGACCTTGACCTTGTATGTCTCTTTATTTATTTATTTATTTATTTATTTCCGATTTCTACTTAATCTTTTCCTCAAGAAAATGTTTTCAATTGGCCTGACTGAGCATATTTTCAGGTGAAATCTTCCATGAGTGAGCTGACCACCTGACAACACACCTGGATCCAGAAAATGCTCCAAATGTCTCCCGTGAGATTGAAAGAGGGAGAGAGAGATACAGAGAGAGAGTGAAAGCAAGCAAGATAGAGTGGGAGAGAAAGACAGAGAGAGTGAGAGGTGAAGTGCAAAGGGGAGCAACCCAAAAAGCAGTGGTGCCCTCCCTCCTCCCTCCATACAGCATGGCAGTTAATTTAAATTCTGCAAGGAGACAACCCATAAATCACCTCCATTCTGACTAATGGCTTCTGCAACTGAGGGAAAACTCTCGCCTCTCTACCTGGAGACATTCTGCACTGCAAAAAATATAGGCTACACTTGGTTCGTGTGTATGTGTATATGGAGTGTGTATATATATATATATACATATATATATATATATATATATATATATATATATATATATATATATACCTGTATATGTGAGTGCTTCACTTAGACAGACAGACAGTTTTTGAAAGAGTCAGCAGCACAACTAACCCCTCCACGTGAGCAGCTTTCACTGGAGGCAGAAATCCCCCTGTGCTGGTCCATAATTAGCCCCATAACTGCAACCGTCTGACGTCAGAAGTGTGTGACACAAAACTAACCTTGGACTGGTTTCCAAAAAAATCACCCTGGGTTAGCACACAAGCACAGCTCACCCAGATCTATGAGTCATGTGAGTCATAAAAGCTTCTGTAAATGTGTTTTCTTATATTGTAAGTGGTCATACCTCATAGGGTTTGCAAAGTTTCAAAGCAAAGGTTTTCTTTGCGTGTGTGTGTGTATTTTTGCAGTAATATTCAGCTAAGGAAGGCTAAACTGTAGAATTATTTAAAGTCTAGTATAAAAATGTCAATTATTTGCAATATTTACATGGATTGTTTATTTTGCATTTGACTGACAAAACATTAGAGCTTCAGTTAGATTTTGACAATCATATCGTAATCTAGCTAGCTAGCTAATTTCTTCTCATTTACTTCCATCATTACATTACATATTTTTGAAGTCACTTTTTCCCTGTCCATGTCAATAAACAAACACAGTAGGAGCAAAACAATGAAAACATATATTTTTTTTCTTCTTACGAGAGATGGGCTCCTAAATGAAAAAAAATATTTCCTGCAAAGTTGAAAAAGATTTCACAAGAAAAATTTATTTCTATTTTTCTCTGTGTTCTTCTTACTGGTTAAAGTGGGCGGGGCCCAGCTTCTGATGGCAATTGCTGTTTGGTCACTGTCAATCAAATCTAACCAAACCAAAGGCACACAGATTAGCTGATTATCTCAAGTTTTTAAATGTTAAACTAAATAATACCTTATTTTTGTTGCTTATTTAGTAACATGAACACATAATGTTAAAGAAATACTGAAGCATTTCCTGGGGCTTTAAGTGTAGTTACTTAGAAGTGGACATTGGATTAACACAACCAGCCCATCCATTTAAAAAACATTCATACTTAAGCATACAAGTGTAGTTAACCAGGTATACAAGGGGTTTTTGAAGTATGACACTGTGGGCCCTTCCTCAGACCAAACTGTGAAAACACATTTATCAACTATTTGCTGCCCCATTTAAAGTATGTTGAATGAGCTATTAGCCATTCCTGATTACGATGTTGCTATGGATATAAAGACCACTATCACTGGATAACTGTGATACTGAATAAAACTTAAAAACATGATGATTCTCAGGCAAGTTCTTGAGTTATACGGAGTGCCATGTATTTATGGATGTTTATTCATGATGGACACCAGAGATAATTATATCCTTGGAAAGTGTATCACGTGTTCTAATTGGACTTAATTTTGACTACAAGAAAAAGTAAAAATTTTTCACAAATTGTGCTCCACACATTGATTTCCCCCAGTGATGTCAGGGGTATCCTGACCAGGCTGCAGCAGACGGGGTGGTTTGGGGACAGAATGTGAATCCTTGCTGATGGTACCCAGTCACTTGTTTGCTTTTTTAGTCGGTTTGCAGTTTCCTGTCAGCAACGCCCTTCGCTCTGGGATGAGACATTTCACCTCAGGGCCGTGTTTGCTTCTTCATTGCCCTCTCATGACCTGTCACTACACATTTACAGTACAGTGATATGACTGAAACAAAACACGCACCAAATTTTCTGCAAATAAATTTGTCCTATCATCTGTGTAGATATCTTATGTACACAAATAGAAATCAACTGCCTGGTTTAAATACAGTGATTGTGTGTGTAGTGTATTTCTTTCCCTTTTCCAACAGTATTAAATATTAACCAAATACACAAAGTATGGAATTTTTTTATTTATTTATTTATTTATGGCCTTTTGCTAACAAATATTAGCTCCTTGTTTCTATGTGATAAACAGCTTCCCTCCATTTATTGTTCATTGTGGAGTGAAACCTTCACAGTTGTCATAAATGTTCAGTGACAAAGTGTGGTCAAAAGCAAATACACAGTAATTATATAAAACACAGAAAATACCATATATAGACACACACACGCCATTTTTTCAGACCCACAGATCCATTGAGGGAGCAGAGAAAGATTAAAGAGTGTGCTTTCTGCTCTGTAATCTGTCACTCTCTGTGGGCATTTAGTCTATACACTCCAGATGAAATGGGGCTATCGCTTGTGCGGTGACCTGGAGTAACCGGCTTCAGCCAGCTTCGCCTCCTATTCCCTCCCAGTAACACGGATGACCTCCAGTTGTGATTGGGGCCTCTGATCCCCCCTGTGGGTCATACATGTGTTTTAAAACTCAACGACACGCTTTCCTTCCTCTACCTTACCCTCCAGTCCATCTACCTCCTGCCTTCCTTTTCCAACCCCACTCCTGAAATGTATGGTAAGTTGCTTAGACAGCTGGGGTCTCCTGTTGGGATCTGACAAAGCTTTAGAGGAGATTTGAACCTCTGGGGCGTGACACAGTTCGCCAGGCCGAGGGAGAGTTCCAGTCCCCTGGACCACAAGAGTCACGGCTTCCCCTCTTGCTTCCATGTCCAGCTGTGGAGGACAGATATGAGGCCCCACCCACTGTCACCAACATCCAAACGCCCTCACTGCCCCAGCATTGCCACCTGCCTCCAGCCTAAAACAGCTGGGCTATGTGCGACACCCAAATGACAGTAGCAGATGAAGTGGCCCACTGCAATGATCCCTTGCACTGCTCATTCGTCCCACTGACTAATAATGACTATGATCAATCACATGTGAGGCTGCACTGCAAGAATATTGCATGAGATAAACGCTGAGGTATGAACCCCCACCAGCCAAGCAGGTGTTGAGTTTTTCTGTTCCAGTCAGAAAAACAGCAAGAGGGGTCATTCGGACAGCACACCAGGCAAGGTCATTCTTTGCAGGTGTTTCTTAGCACCAAGATGTGTCTCATCAGAAAACCCCCTTTTCTTTTTTCCTAAGTTTCATCCCATTGGACATGAGTTTCCTCTTGTGAGTTTTCCCTCTCTCTGAAGCCCCGGTCCTGTAATCCAATCTCATTAGCCCTATGAATGGAAGTCTCTCTGTGTGAATCCATTAAGAAGGCTTCCCTGTGGCTCCCTCTCTGTAATCTCTCTAACCCTGTGGGATTAATCACCCACAGAGAACAGAAATCGATCCATTTAATCACTAAAAGATGTGACAAAAACGCTGTAACTTGGGGGATATAGTGGAAATTATTGGCCAATTGAAATTCATTGGAGAGAGAGGGAAGAGAAACAGAGAGAGGGGAGTAAGACTTATAGAAAACAGTACTTTGTAGCACCTTAATGAGGCAATCATTCCAGTTATTTGTGCTATGTATTTGGGAGTAGAAAGGAGGCTTTTTATTTGTTCGGGAAACTAGCACTAGTGTAGAAAGTAATACACAAAACAAATCAATGTTTAAGAATAAAAAAGCCCAGACAATGAGTTTGACCAAGACAATCATGTCATGTATTACAAACAAAAAAAGGCTTTCTTGTGCGAGTAGATCACGTTTAGTGCCACTCACTTTGTTTGTGTATCTGCATGTTCAGCAGAGGTATGTCTTTGAGAAATGAGGCCAGGGTCCACTGAGAAGTGTTGTAACGTTTAAGGTTTGATGATGCCTCCATGAGCCCATAATGAGAAGGAATGAGGGTCGCCTGGCAACGTTAACCCACTAATAAAATCTGCCTCCCTTTAAAGGGTGTTAGAAAACCACAATTACCCCCCTGACATTTTTTTACTGCATGATTTATGAACTGAATATTGCATCTCCCTCTCTAACCCTTATTCTGGCTGCGGAGTAATAAAGGGAAGTTAAGGGGCAGTATTGATCGGCCTAAAAGTA